TCTATGCTCAGCAGTCAGAGAGACTCATATAATATATAATACGCAGAATTTAATGAGTCATTTTGAGCTTTTTTGTGTTTGAGAGAAAATACAGAAGTAAATTCAGCCTTTGCTGCCAACACAGATGTTTTTTTTCTTCTTCTTTTTAATTAAAATATTCATCATCTGCCATAATATCTCTTTTTCCCTGTTTGGTCTTTCAACATGCAATCACAACAAACAAAATTATAAGGGAAAAAATATTTCTGAACATTTTCTTTCCGCTGCTCGGCTTGGTGTTGGCTTGATTAAAAAATGCAGATGTCGAAGAATGCAAAGCAAACACTCTGGAAATCTGATCTGTTGTCTTAGGGGGAGAAAAAAAAAAGATTCAAAGCAAACACAAACACTGAAGTCTGGCCTCAGAGATGGAGGAAAAGCAAAGCTGCCCTGCCTGGCAACAGCTCACTTTTTTGGCTGGCTTTCATCAGGAGGGGGGCCGGCCTTTTGACAATAGAAGTGACTAAAGCAATCTTCGCAGTCTGCATTTGTGTTTGCTTCAAAGGTCATAGGTTCAGAATTTGCAGGTGAAGTAGAAAGAGTTGAAACGGTAGCATGCTGCTCCTAGTGGCACAAGAGGCTTCTGACGAATGAGTGAGAAGAGATGCAGGGACGTATATGTGCATGCATGAACACATGTTGCGTGGCCACACCGGGGCGTAGTCATCAGCATTCATCTGTTAATGTGTGTTGTGGATTACGTGTATTTGTAAAACACATGCTTTGCTCTCTGCTGACTGTCTTGTACTTCCAGCTGAGGCTTATGTCTGTAATGTTGTTTGTCTTCACTGAGATCCAACCTGTGATCCCTTCTTGAACTGAAAATACTTATCTATATCTGCCACACCATCTATTCTCCCATCAGCGATGACTTCCATCAGTTTTCATAATCACCCCCGGCGACTCTCCTTTATTTCCCAGGAATCTCTTCGGCTCTCTAGATCTTTATTTTGATCTCATTCTTATCTCCTCATTGTCTCTGCAGAAGGCTGTGTAAATCCACTGCTTTGTAAATCTGGCTCAATCTCCCATCCAATCATTTCACATGGATATCGAATTTGCATATTGAAAACGATGGCCTTGTGGATGAAATGAGAACTCTACATAATGATAGAGCACAGCACAAATGGGAATTTTGGAACATGTTGTCTATTGCAGAAGTAACAGCTTAAATTACTACGCAACATATAACAAATTCACATTTAATAATGCCTTTTGCTGCAGTTACAGCTGCTGATGTTTTGGGAAACATCTCTACCAGCTTTAAAATAAAAACTGACATTTTTGTTCATTCGTTTCTACAAATCAGCACAAACTCAAATTGGCTCTATAGCATCTATAAACATCAAATTTGCAGTTTTTCCATTCTCAATTAAATTTAGGTACAGACTTTGATGAGGTCGTTCTAATATATTAATTTTCTTTCGATTAAACTTTACCACTATAACTCTAGCTATATGTTCATTTATACACATCAAAATGTAAAAAAAAATAAAATAAAAATGAAGACAGGAGTTTTTATAATATTGAACAGTTACCTAACACATCGTTATCTCTGTCCTGGTCTGCTGTGTTTGTTGGTCTTCATGATGCTGTTTACTGATTTATCCAAACATCTGAGACCTTCATAGAACAGCTGGATTTATTACAAACAGATGCACTTTTGATTTTATTCAGGGGTATCAGAGTCGATGAATCATAACAGCTAAATTCTAAACTATTTAGATCTTTACTTGTTGAACGTGAAAGCTATTTTCAGTTTTTTGCTTCACATGTATGCACAGCTTTTTGTTTACCGCATAAAATAAGTAACATTGAGGATTGTGGCAATAATTCGACAAAATGTGAAGGCACACATTTGCAAGGCACTACAGTCTCAACAAATTCTGCCTGAAAATAAAAACCCTTTGAAGGCAACATTTTGATAAAAAAAAAAAACTAGACCGTGTTAGCTGCTTTCATGCAGAAGTCCTACTCTAAATTCTTTTTAAACTATTTGCTCACCAATCAGTCTTCATTTTCAACTTTAAGTAAAGTTTTGAAGGTCAGAGATTGAATTTATACAGCTGCATATTTAATGTGAATCCTATTTTTTCACATTTTTTGATGAAATATTCCCAATATGTCCTTGGAAGAGAAGGAAAACTGCTGTAGTATACTAAAAGCTGCACTCATACGAAGGAGCAACGTGTCCTCAAGCTAAAAAAAATTCAAGATCTAGATGTCTGTTGCATGTCAATAAATTTTGTTTGGGAAGAAACTGATTCTGAATAAGATATTCACATTATACGGAGGAAGGTTGGCATACTGTTCTTTTTCAATAAATCCATAATGCATCAGCATTGTATGACTGTATGATGCCCTACAAGTACAAAATAAATGTTTGCAATAAGTGTAAAGATACTATCCATTTATTTTCACCACCAAATGTATGGTGACTTTAATACTCCACTGGGGGGATGAAGGATGGATTTCCAGTGCAGGATTTCACATTATGTGTTTCTTAAAAAGCACTTTGAAGGAATAAGTTATATTTTGTGTAAATGTGTGTCTACAGAGTCATGGGAAAGACAATAAATAGAAGATTCAGACACTTTTACGAGATTTGAAAATAATTCATGTGTTTGACTTGCGCTTATATTGTATTGGTCTCGCATGCTTTAGCTGGAATTTCACTCTACGTTCAACTTGAATCATCTTACAGGAGAGTGACAGTCTGTGAATGAATGTCTCACTTTTTCCTTCAAATGTTTACTGGAGTAGCAAAGATGCTATAGGTTCAAAAAAACAGAGCACAAATACTCATATCGCAGCTAAGAAGAGATGTTAGGAATAAATTAGCTTCATGTAATGAAATAATTTACAACAAAGTAGCAAAACACGTAGACTGATGACGACATGTTGTTCTATAGGTGGCAATCTATATCTAAAGTAAGTTTAACTGGTTTCCAGAAAGGCCTGACCAGGAGCTTCAATACAGAAGCGATTATTTGAAAAGTTAGAAAAAAATGTCTTGGCTCAATCACGGCTTTCAACGATTGATGAATGGTGCGGTTGTTGTCTTTGCTGTGGGATGCAGAATGATGAAACACATCAGTCTTTCTTACCTTCTAACCACTCACTCCTGAACATCCACGAGCAACAGAAATATTGCTCTCATGGAGACGATTCATCTTCACACACCTGCCTATTAATGTCAACAGCAAGGGAACTATTATTCGGAGGGTTCTGAGCTCTGTGGACTGTATTAAGCCTCTTGATTAGAAACTACATCAAAAATGAGTGTAGTTTGGTCAGGATTTTCTTTATTGTAAGCTAGAATATTTGTTGTTCTAATAGAAAAGGGTTCTGTGCAATGTCCAGCCTTCTTTGGTCAAGTAATATACAATGACTTTTTAGATTTATTTTTCTTTCTTGACCTTTACAGCACCACCTTCAAAATATCACACCCTACCTCATATTTATGGACTTGGTATAATAAAACTCCTTTAATTCTTTTATGTTTTTCAGTTTTAGAGAGCCACCCAAGATAATCGATAGCCCTTATCTGGCCACTACCTTTAAAAAAAAACTCAACCCTCCCCCCCAAAATATAAGAAGCTATCTTTGAATGCATTATGCATGCTAATCCACAATGGTCAAAAGTTATAGAGACAATAAGAAGATTCTGAATGAGATTATGGTCTGGATTCTATGGTGGCCAATTTATGTGTGAAAATAATGTCTCAGGCAACATAAACAACCCTTGCATGAATTGAATCTGATAAGTCACGGCAATGTCATCTTAAAATATGCTCATTCTCACAAGGAAGAAAAATGATCAATGCAATATCCTGGTTAGTCACTCTGTTCAGGTAATCGGATTACTTCAGGTTTAGGTTCAATGACATCATATGCCCAAAGAACGCCTATGAGGTAAGTGCTATGACCTAGTGTCGACCCTAAGTATCATATGTGGATCACCTCATGCAGAGATAACAGGGTAAATATTTGATCCCTAAACCACACGTCCTTCTTCCATTGCTCCAAAGTCTAACCGTTATGCTCCCTATTAAATTTAAAATTTTCTCCCCAGGAAGGCCAAACAAATCAGTGTTCTTTCAAAGGGAGCAAAACGGCTTAGTTTCAATCCTGTCAGATCATTTTGCAAATGTGTAGAGATGTCTAAGCGATCCCTCATATTGATCAGTCATTTTTCACAGCCACATTTCAACCACGAACATGCAGTTTTCCCCATGTGTCCTTCCAGTTGGACAATAAATAGCCTGTTCTTAGCCAGTTCTTAGACAGTTCATTCAGCTGTCTTTTTGTTTTCTCTGTTTGATGCATGCACGTAATTCTGTTCTGAAATAGACCAACATCCTTTCAACAACCACAGGATGTGTATCCTGACAGGGTTGGTTAAGAAATGAGAAGTTACTCACGGCATCAGCTTGAGTTAAACAACTTACCAGCTGAAAGATGTTTCAGGTCAATTCAAATATAATTTACTGTTCCAAAACAGAAACTAAATTAGTAATAATTAATGAGTAATTATTCAAAATTATCCAATGGGTTGTTCTTTCCTATTTCATTTCTTAAATCCAGGTATGGATTTGTTTTTCAGATTGGCAGTGCGTTGTAATATATAAACTGGTATTAATTTAGTAGAAAACACTTGTTAGCAAATAGATTTAGAAGATCAATTAACAACACAACATTAAGTATTTCAAACAACTTATTCTTTGTTTATGGAGCCTTTCTATCTGTCAAGAGTTTTTTTCCCCATTTTTCAATCACAACCGGCCACGATTTATCTATTCATCTATTGGATAACGTTTCTGTCAATCTAAACAAATCTTCTTTGCAATTGGCTGATGAACCCGAAGCCCCGCCCACTCTTACCTGTCGATCTGTGAAAGGCCACAAGCGCTGCCGCACGCCCCGCCCACTGTATCCCCTCCCGCCTCTTCCCACCGGCGTTCAGTCGTGAAGCGGATTGAACGGGCAGCGCTGTCTCTGTGGCGCAGGAGTATGCGGGCAGGAACATAACGGCTGCGGTAGTCAACTGAAAACACGTTTAAACACACACCGGGAGCGGCTCCGGAGAGAGGAACCCTGAACACGGACAGCCGAGGGGAGTTTACAGCGGTTAAGAAGCGGAGGGAGACTCGGGAGAGCGTCAGGAGGCGGTGGAGGCAGAGGAGAAGTGGGGGGAACGGACGCTCTCTAACGAACCCGACCGACATCGCACGCAGAAATGGCGGAGCACCACGCAGTCAGCGACGGCAAGCACAAGGCGTCCGGCAATTCTGGGAGCTCGGTGCACGGAAACAGCCGACCTGGCGCCGGCGGTGGAGGAGGAGCAGGGGGCAAAGGAGGCCTCTCTGGCGGACTGACACAACCGGCCGGGTGGCAGTCTCTACTCTCCTTCAGCATTCTTTTTCTGGCCTGCCTGGCGGGATTCAGCTCCAGACTTTTCGCTGTGATCCGGTTCGAGAGCATCATCCACGAGTTTGATCCATGGTAAGCTAGCAGATCAGATCGATTTGCAAGTGCTCGCTGTGCCAATGAAAGATGGTTAAGTCGACCCATTTTTATTTTTATTTTTTTACTTTTACATAAACATGACGTATAATAATCTCTTTGCATAAGTTCCTTTAACGGCGATAAGTTTTTAAACTTATTTTTAGACGTTTTACATCCCGCTGGATTCAAACACTCGTTCCCCAGTGATGATCAGTGAAGGGATTTCTGTCTCATGTCCTTGGCACAATCACTTTAATTGTCAGAGAAGCGGAGTGCAGCAGGTATGAGGGATCTTGACGGTTATCGTGATGATCTGGGTAACCAGTCTGGCCGGACTGCATCATCTGTGCAACTGTGGTTGACGACCGCAGGGCGCTGGAAGGTGTGTGGAGTGTTCAGCTGCTGGTACAACTTTGTTGTAGACTGAGGAAGCACCAGCTCTCTGTCAGAACTGTTTGTAATTCACTTCAAAGTTGATTAAAGTAGAGCGAGTGAAATTAAAAATGGTTAGCCGAGGGATTATATGCGGGTCGGTGGTCGATATATTTGATTTGGAGCTTGTTTCCTGGAGGATTTACCCACCTGATGTAGTGTGCGCTGAGTTTCTGTGGAGGATTAAAGTTGTCACAATGAATAAAACAAAAGATATTTGAAATGTCAATTTGTTAAATGCACAACTTAAAAACAAATATGGAAACTTCATCCATCCTTTTGCTTATCCAGCAGTTAAAGACAGGGTGTACTATTGAAAACTCACCTTTTTATTTTCAGAACTATTTAAAACTGACTGTGGAATGCTAAAAGTGCTTTAATCTAATTAATGAATACAGTTTTTTTAATTGTGAAAATTTAACTGAAATGCAGAAATAAATCAATCTATAATTATTTAAATGTCATTAATTTACTAAATAGATGTTAAAATTATTGCAGTTCAATATTAATTTATTTTACATCTTGTTACTTTTCATCATACAATTATTTAAATCAGCCCTATGGGTTGTCAAATGCATCCTTATTTTTGATTGGCTAACCTGCAGACCAATCACTTTGTGTCTAATGCTGATGGGTAAAGCTGACCACATAAGATTAAAATCATGATGTGCTGCAAAACGTTATCTGAAATGTTTAAATGACTAGTAAAATGACAATTTTAAACATTTAATAAATCCAAATTAAGCTGTTGCATTCAAACACCTTTGAAACTTTCATTTGTTTGCCTCTTTTTGGAGCTCCGTACTCCAGCCGCTGCGAGTAATCACAGCAGGCTGTCGACATGACAGCCCGCTGATCCGGTCTGGTGATGCTGTCATCACAATGCAGGATTATTCCTGGTTGTAGCTGTGTCACATGGGCTGTGGGGTGTGGACCGGCCGGGATGCAGCGTCACTCATTCCTGTATTGTGTGGCATTCAGCCATGCTCCTTGACTGAGGCATTCACTTATTAATTTTCAAGGACAGGTGCTCCGTCTTGTTCAGGGTGACACTTACCTTTTCAATTATGTTGATAACTTGATTGCACTTTATAGCCCAGGTTTGAAGCCAGAAGTTTCAGCACGGTTCAGGTGATCTGGGTCTGACTTGCTGGGAAATGTGCAGGACTGACCTTTCTTTAATCATGGGTGGTTCTGTGTGTTGCATCCATTAGTATTCATTAGAAGATGCATACATTATATTACCTGTGGCATTGTTCCCTCACCCCATACTTTACTGTAGTAGCTGCCTTGCTTCAGTTGTCAGGCTGTAAAGTGGCGCCCGTTTCCTCAGTTACAGTGCAGCTTCTTGGCAACTTGTCACAGACAGGAGAGCAAAGACTGTCTTTGAAACACAAAAGTTTAAAAGCCCTTACAGCTATGAAAAGACTTGGAACTGTTCTTGTTCTGTTGGTGTTTCTCTTCACCCTCAAAACCCAAGCATTGCTTTTGTCAAACTACGTGGTTTAAGAAGACAAAAAAATGCATCAAACTGTAATTTTGTCCTAAAAGTGTTACTGTACTGATATCTGCTTTGGTTAAAGTCGGAGATACAGCTGAGCTATATCATGATTGCTTATATCAAATTATGCATATCTGCATATGCAGGATTTCAAACATTTTTGACAAACAAAAATCTGATAAGTGTGGCATGCATTTGTATTCAATCCCTGTCCACCTCCAGTTCAGATCAGCTTTTAGATGCATTTTTGGTCCAACACACTTGAATCAAATGAATGAGTCATTATGGTACATCAACCAAACTTGATGCGATGTGAACTTTTCAGGACGGTAGCTCTTAATTGCTTAGACCTCTGGTCTAGAGTCTCACCTTTTTCTTCAAGCTAAATCAAATTAAATGGAGAGATTTTTCAGAACTTGCCACAGAATCTCAGATTTAGGTCTGAAGGCTGTACAGCTTGGACATGCTTTGTACTGCACCAATTAGTTGTAGCTTTTGGTTGTATGTTCAAGGTCATAGTTCACAAATGTGCTCAGTCAATTGACAAATAAAAAAAGTCTGAAGGTAGTTTATTACAAAAAGCCACAAATGCATCAGTTTGTGATTGTAACATGAAAAAATGAGGAAAAGTTCAAGGGTTGAGAAAACTTTTGTAAGCTACTGTAGTTGCTTTCAGCTAAATCTGAAAAAAAAATCTCTCTCTATTCTTTTAGTTTTCTCCTGACCTGCACAACATGTAACCTAAAGACCACCATCTAACATTCACATTTATTTTTTATCCCATGTTTATTTCATGATGCACTTTCCTCCTTGCCGTCAGTGTCTTCTGGAACCACGAAAAATCATAAAAAACTCAAGACCTTTCTAAACAAAGAAACAAGATTTAGTCAGTTGTTCCTATGGATTGTATGGTGAGGTTTGGTGTTTTACCACATTCTGTTGTGCTAATGAATCTCTTACCTCTTTGACAGCAAGAATAGAAAGCGATATGATGAACCATCTGCTGATTGGAAGGGGCCATCATCCTCAGACATGCTTGATTGGTGCTGTTAGTTTGGCTGTTTTTTTTTGTTTTTTCCCCCACTTTGTCCACAGATAAGCATCACATTAAACAAGCCAGCAATTTGTGGAATTATGATTGGATTTAGACACTCTAAAAATGCCAGGCATATTGTACAATGTGCGAACAGCGCAGGCAAGGCTGATTTAGTGAAAGACTGCTTGATGAGTCTCTGGCTGTGCTGATTAAAGTGAAAAATATATTTTGTCACATTTTTAATGCGGGTTTTTTTTTTTTTGTTGCCGAAAGTAATTCCTTTGCAAAGTCATGTCATCATCGAAAAGCGTAGTTCGGTTTTCTTAAGATGGCTCTAAATTATTAATCCTTTCAAGGTTTGAGTTAGTGGTTTCAGCGAGGTGTATTGTGTGAAAACGTCTCCACGCTCAAATGAATCGAGCCTGCTCCCAGAAGTAATGCTGCTTTTTGTAAGAGAAGGATGTGCTTTGGCTCTCTGGATTACAGATTTTTCTTTGAGTTCATAATTTTGTTGATGAATACAAATGCATAAATCTGAGCCATGTGGCATGGCTTGTAGAAGTGTAAGAGCAAAGTTAAGTTAGCAAACAACTGAATTTCTGCCCAACCAACTTCTTTCATTCTGAAATCAGAGGTAGCAAGTGGATGTGAGAATAATCCACAAGCTGATTTATTTTTATTTTATTTAGTAATGAGATAAAAAACCTGAAGGTTTGTAAAACTTTTACTTTTGATGTGCCACATCTGCACGGAAAGGTAAAAACACAAATGTTTTAAGGGCAAACATAAATTAAAAAGCTGGAATGAATGACTTGTCTTTGAGAATCAGAGTTGTCGCGTTCAGATCTGCTGTCAGTCGAGGTGAATCTGATCTAAAAATGTCGCTCTGCTTTCCCTGTAAGGTCGTCCTGGTATTTGCTCATTGTCTGTTTCAGCTCTTCCTTGGTTTGCAGAGAGTTTAAAAAGAATCAAGAGTCTTGCTGTATTAAGGAACCGGTAAGGAAAATTTCACAGCTTTATATTTATAAAAGGGCGCTGTGCTGTTGGGTATTAATGAATTGGGATAATCCTGGACAATGGTGATGGTTCAAAGAGGAAACGTTTGTCTGAATAAAGAGCAGATATAAGGTGTTTAGGGAGGCTGAAAAGAGACGTGTAACTGAAGCCGTCTTTGTCAACTACTGGTGTTGCAAGTTTCGACAGTCTCCTTCATTCTTCATATGTCGAGACTGAGAGGTGGAGTTTAGAAACAGAGCTGGGGTCGGACGTTTTGTCCAACAATCTGTCATACAGCAACAGTCTTCAGTGAGAGGCCTCTTCTGATTCACTGAAAGACTGACTGCTACCAGAGATCCTTCTTGCCCTCAGCGTCACCATCCACAGCGGCTCTTTGGAGGCACTTGGATGATAAAAGTTATGACGACCTTCAATTTCTCTTTGGGATAAGTAGAGTATTTTTGAGCTGAATTGGAAGTGATCCTGTACGTAAACGCAGAAGCATGCCCTGCGGAACATTTAAAGCATGCAGCACATTCACATTTGAATCAAATCTGGATTTTTGCTCGTGGATATATTTAACTACTGTCTGAAGGAAGCCTCAGTCACAGTTTTCATCATGAGGTTAGAAAAAGAGGTTTTTATATGCTATATATCTGCATTATGCCCTTTTCTCCTAAGCCTTCCAGACATGTGCTCCTCTTCCTCACTTGTTTATCATGCTGTGAGAGCGCATCTGCAGCAGAAAATCTCTCACTGTGAAGTGCATGTGTGAAAAACAAGTGGTGGAAAAGGTCTGTATGTAATTGCCAGAGTTTTCTGCTGAATGTCCTGTGTTCATATTTGACAAGTGCTTCAAGAGCTTGTTGCATGATTTTTAATATCTGTTATCAGAACTGGCTAGCTGTTCCACACTTCTTCTCTTTTTTAAAATGTTTTTTAAAAACATTTTTTATAGATTTTGGACTTGTGAATTGGAAGCTGGTGAAGAATTTCTTTTAATATCTGGAAGCCTGCTCAACTTGATTTGAC